TGACGGGTTCTCATGAGGTGCTTGATGAAAGACGAGGCCGAGCTCTTATTGATCCACAGATTCGTCCCATGTTGTTACGTAATCACTTGTTCCAACAACTTTGCCAAATGTTCAGCTACCATCTGAGCTAACTGACGGTTTGTTCTGCCTATGTAAATGCCACCGCAACCGCAGGTGAACTGATAAACAACGTGAGATGCCGAACTAACCGACGAGATGCTCTGACGGTTATGAAGAACAAGTGCACACGTGGTATGCCTGAGTCGCAACTGGGCTATCGTGTAGGTTCGCGTTAGGGCGGACCGGAGCTTGCGTCCAATATCAATTGCCACATGGTCCCCCTTGAACGGCAAGAACAAATAAACATCCTTTTTCTCAGCCGTCAACACCGGTGTTTTCACGCTGGGAAGTCGGCTGTGTAGTTGAATAAACTTCTCAGGATATCCATTAGAAATTAAGGTCTTGAGTAGATATTCTTCTTCGGCTTGTAACGTTTCGGGGCTGCAAATACGTCTAACCCGGTAGAAGCGAGTTTTCACTAGGCCACGTTTGTATGCGATCTGGTTGAAGCATGAAAAATGAAGGCACTGTCCAGTCCAAGTCGCTTTGAGGTGAACAGTGCGCTGCAACCTACCTTCAGCCCGTCTTCTAATCAGTAAATCCAAAAACGTCAGGCAATTGTGTTGTTCCACTTTATGGGATACCGACAGATTAGGGTGCATCGAATTCAGGATGTTCAGCAGCCGGGTAAAATGTTTCCTGTTAGTGAAGACTAAAATGTCATCCACATATCGTCTGTACAATTTCGCTTCGTCAATGCTGGCAGGAACTTGCCTTTCTATCAGGCGGAGGAAGATGTCGGCTAAAACTGGTCCCAAAGGGCTGCCCATAGCGACTCCGTTGTGTTTGGGACTGAAGAAAACAAGCGAAATGTTGACATATCGCAATCTCTGTCTACTCTCTGCCTTAACGAAATGGCTGAAGGGGACCCACCGTGTATTCGACAATTGGAAGTCAGATAAATCGATAAAAACCATGGTGGGGATGTGGCAAGAAGTAGATTTTTAGATGAGGTGGTGGGCGGATGGCTGAACATACTGGTTGATAGATTGAGACACGAATAAACGTGTGAACAGAGACTGGGATAGAGGACACAGATGGAGACAAGGGTATATGCAGACAGATAAATACACTAGACTAAGTGTGATGGGCTTCGCGGCAGGCTAACTGATCGCCTACTTCAGCCTAATATGAGTAGTCCCTGTCGGGATTGTCTGCGCACGTATTTTTCAAGCAGTTTAATTGAGCGATATCCGTTCAGATTAACTCTTACTCATGCTGACACCATTGCTAAGGAAGCATGAAGTGGAGACATTTGTTCTTGTTCTATCCAAGTGACCGATAGCGAAAACTGGTTAAATGCTGGGCGCCCTTGGAAATTGAACAATATTTAATCTACAGAAAATGGTTTTCTTATCCGGAACGCCTCGATTATGTACGTCATAACGATGTACGGTGTGTTAAACTATCACTGTTAATCCCTAGCTAGTCTTCATAAAATTGCCTACCGGTAGCATCAAAAGTAACTATGTTATATATTTATTTATTTATTCACAGTCTGTTAACAGACATTGTGCCATCAGAACCATGGCAGAAGAAAAAAGTGAAGATGTGAACATGAACTGCGATTAAAAAATATGGGAAACGATTTTTTGGCTTTACACACGCCATTTTGTTTTTTGTATTGTTTTGTGAGTTTTTGTGTGCATCAAACGGATGGTAAAATGGCAGAACAACATTGACGCCACTGATGTCTGTTGCGGGCCATGACGTCTAATGTTTCCAACCACTGCAATTCAGCATCTCGTGGTCCCCAACCTAGAAGACGGACTGGTCCGACTGCCGGCAAACTTGAAGTTGCCTTCATGCTCCTTCACGTCATTGGCTGTCCACCGCGGCACTTTTTCCAATCGCTCCCTGAGAGTGCAAATAGCGCTCATTGTGGAAGGCGCTGGGCTGGCATGCGCAAAACGTGCCCGAGCCAACGCATGCGATGTCGGAGAATAACATCCTGAAGACTGACACTATTCGTCCCAAGCACGCGGTCCCGCACCTCTGCGTTGCTTACGTGGTGTTGCCGCCACACCCGAGCAATCCTTCGTAGACGGCGATTATCGAAGACTGACAGCCGCTTCATATCTTCCGAGCGAATAGGCCAAGTCTCACAGCCGTACAAGAGTACTGCACGGACGGAAGCATTGTACACCGTGCCCTTGAGCTTGAGACTGACATCACGACGATGCCATAGGTGTCTCAGTTTGATGAATGCAAGGCGGGCCTTTGAAATCCGTTGTGAGACTTCATCCCCAACGCCACCACCAGCCTTGATGCAACTCCCTAGATAAGTAAAGCAAGGGACTTGCTCCAGAACATGTCCAGCAATGGTGAGCGCGGGTCCAGGCACTTGCCAGTCCTGGAGCAGCGTTTTACATTTTCTCGGAGTGAAGCACAAGCCATACTTAGACGCCTCCATCGCCAAGCGGTCCAAAGCGCTCTGGACGGATTGCGGGTCGTCCCCCAGCAAGGCGATGTCATCGGCGTAGTCCAATTCTGTGAATCTGTCTCCAGGGAGGAGCTCAACACCGCAGTCCTGGACACCTTCCAGTGCTCTTTGGAGAACACCTCCGATGGCGAAATTGAAGAGGAAATTTGAAATAGGGCAACCTTGGCGAACACCACTCGTCACAGCAAATGAAGAAGAGTGCGTACCGTAGGCCCTGACTTTGCCCGTCATGTGACTGTAAAGTTCTTTCAGGATGGTTACAAACTTGTCGGGCATACCTTTCTTCAGTAAACAGTTCCACAACGCAGATCTATCTACTGAATCAAATGCCGCTCGGATGTCCAAAAACACTACGATTGTTGGCCGCCGGTGGATGTGACGAAGTTCGAGAACTTGCCGAAACATGAAGATTTGGTCGATGCAATCGCGGCCTGGACGAAATCCGGCTTGTTCTTCTCGGGAAATCTACTCTCTAGTCGTTGAAATCCTGCTAAGCAGGACCGACACGAAGATTTTGGATGCGACAGAGATTAACGAGATTCCACGGTAGTTGCAACAATCGGCGTGGGAGCCTTTCTTGTGAATCGGAACAATGACCGATTATCCCCATGCGTTCGGAACTTTCGCTGACAAGTACACTCCCGCCATCTTTGAATAGAGCCGGTGGTAGGTTGTCGGGACCCGGTGCCTTCTGGCGTTTCAAAGATTGGATTGCATTTCGAATCTCTGCTTCATTTAAGGGGGGAGCTGTGGAGACAGGCCAAGCATCATACATTAGGGCTGGAGGTGTCACATGAGGCTGTGTTGGGTGGTTGAATTGAAGAGCGAAATGCTCTGCCCAGCGACCCAATCGCCTGTGAAGATTGGTGATCATCGTGCCGTCTGATTCTCAAATCGTCTGGCTGATAGCGTGGAAATTGCAACCAGTGGCCCTGATAATGTAAAATAGACGGCGGAAGTTGCCAGCCGATGCAGCGGCTTCCATCTCATCAGGTTGTTTTGACCACCAAGATTCACGATTATAGCGAAGGCTTGCTTTCAGCTGTTGCGTAATAGAACGGCAGTGTTCGTTGTACTCTGCGCCAGCAGGCACCGCTCGTCGGCGATCCAGCAATTTCGAGGATCTTCCCGAGATCCAGGTTTTGGGAGTGGAGCGAGCGAGGTCACAGCTGGACAAACTGGCCGACAGCAAGGCTTTTTGCGGACTTGACCATTGTTGATCAACATCCAGAGTGTCAGAGAGAGCGAGATTTGCACGAAGGCCTTGTTGCTACTCTTTCTTTACCATTGGGTCCTCTAACTTGTAGGTGTTCAGTCGGGTGTGTTTTGACCTAGGTGAACCACCGAAACGCATGCAAACGGTCGCACACACCAGTGCATGATCAATATCGATGCATGTTGACCAAAATGATCGGCAGTCGCCTACGCTGCCGCGCCACCTGCGACTTATAGCTATGTGGTCAATCTGTGACCAGCGCTGGGTTGATGATGGGGGGCGCCAAGTGGCGTACTGCCGTCCAGGATGACCAAAGCTGGTGCTGGAGAGGAATAGTTGAGGATCAGCACACAGACTGAGCAGTCTCTCTCCATTGTCTGAGCGAACATCATCATATCCATGCAGTCCCCCGAGGTGGCGCTCACATAACAGCAGACGACCGACACGCGCGTTGAAGTCACCTGCCAAAACAATGATACCTGTTTTAGGAGCCCTTAGGAGCAGCTCATGAAGGTTCTGGTAGAACTGGTCTTTGACGGTGTCCGGGCTACAGTCAGTGGGCGCGTAGGCAGAGATCATGAAGAGAGCATGCTTTTCGACTCGACATCTGCTAACTTTACAAGAGCCATGGAGCCTCATCGCACAAAGGCGTCTATTGATCGGAATGCAATCAATCAAAGCAGTCTCGGCTCTAGCACTGAGGACGATTCCAACACCAGCTTGCCCAAATGCGACAGATTCGGCGTCACCAGAGAGGTATAGATGGAAGCGGGTGCGTGGGTGGAGTGGTGACACCAGCTGGTAGACGGAGTTAGCGTCCTGGAATCGTGTTTCAGTCGAGCATCAGATATCAATTCCAAGGGTCTCTAGCGTGCGTGCAAGTCCAGCTTGCTGACCGCTCTGCAATAATGTGCGTACGTTGAAGGCTGCAAGTTTGAACTGCGTTCCGGGTTGCAGGAGCGAAGATGGGCGACTTTGGGACCGGCAACTCTCTGTTGAGTACTGTGTGGTTGAGTTGGCAGATGTCACGGGAACAGCTTCACCAGTGTAGGTAGGGTTGCTCGCCTTAGAGGAATCAGATAACAATGGGTGTGAATGGTACAAGGGCAGGATAGGTAAAATGGTGGCGTGTGCTTGTGCAGTTGGCATAGTGACATGAGTGAATAGCATGGTAGTAGCAAAAGTAGCAGATATACCTTAAAGAAGAATTACATTTCTTACCTCGTAAACTTCGGACTTTAGGCTCATATGCTTCAAGTATCTTTCCCATTCTTTTCCAATCAAATCAGTGGGTGGTTGACCAAGTTTCAAGCGACGCTGTCCCAAAGCGACTTCATCACGCCTCTCCTGAATAATCGGTAAAAATGTATCATCTAATTAACCAGTCGCCGGAAGCTTGTCCAATTATTGCATTCATTAACACTTACACAAAAGTAATCATGTTTTACCGTTGATTATGATGCAAAAGAAATAAGTGACTGCAACCATCTTAGGATGAAAGCAAATGTCGGTGACATTGTTTCATGCTTTCCAGCATGGACTAAATCTGATGGGCGGAAACTTGTTGTTTGAATTGGATGACAACCTCCAATACATCAGAGGCTGCGCTCATATAACACGAGCGTAGTCATGGAAGCTCGTAAATGAAAAAATGCACAACAAGCGCAAAGGGAACATGGCTACTCAGGTGACATGCTTGTCCATAAAGCAAGGATCTGACCAGATCATCTGTGGTGGGATCGTTTACAAACGGTTGGTCCAAGCTGGAATCCACAATAAAGGATTATATGTGGTGCTAGCTGGTAGTCGGGTTAGGCGGCGACTACAATCGCATCACTGGTGCCGACTGCGAACCGTGATCTCAAACCAACATTGGATAGGTTGCGTGGACCTCAATCTGGGGGTCGCAATGATATAAAATCCCTCGTTTCAAACAAAAGCGACTCCATTCCTCCTTTCAAAGTTAGGATGTGCCTCTTCTCATGTTGTATTACGATATTTTGGCGTAAACATGACCAATCTTTTATATGGGTTGCTAAGGCCTGAATATAACTTGATCCCCGGTAGCTGCCCCTGGCGAGGAAGCACCATGCCGATGTAACCTGTATGAAATCAGAAAACAAGTCAATGCCAAATATCGTCACATAAACGGATTCTATGCTCATGGTGGTGGTAGCGAAGCGTCGATGCAGTGTACCACCGTACTGGTGATGCCCCCTTCTTTCTCCTCCTTTTCTTCTTCACTGACTTATAATCTGCGTCACAGCCACGCTTAATCCTCGCACACTCTCTCCACTTATGAGTACTATTGGACTGTCTCTGTGATAAAGAACCCTAAAAAGTAAGAATTCTAGATGTGAGCAACATTCTGATTGGCGCTTATTCGGAAGTCAGACTGTCCGCACCGTCCTGTCGGTATTACTGGCTCAGTTTAATTAATTGAGAGTCCGTCGAAGCAGCTCCCAAACCAGATGAACTCGCAATTAATTACCTCAGAAACCCCCTACTCATTAATACATCAGTTTGTTAATAACTGTGCTTCGATTGGCGAAGTGCGATGGCTCTTCTTGCCATAGTTCGGATCGCCAAGGTACTAGGAGTTAGCGATGATGGGGAAAATCAATTAATACATCGAATTTAATACAAGGAGATAAAGGGTACTGGAGGTTTCGTGAGTAACTTAAGGAGCTAGGGGCAGCAGTGCCATGTCTGATGTTTTACACCTATGATGCGTCACATTTCGTCTCTCCCATCCACAAAGAAGACACCTACCAGTCTGAGAAAGTCCATCGTTCAATTCTTTTGTGTCCTCGCCAAACTAGGTTCAGCAAAGTTGAGGGTTTCGGTGTGTCTCTCTCTCTTCCCTGCACTCCACGACCGACGATATCGTCTTGGTTTAGACTCATCAGGCAGAGATAGCCTTAGCTGGAAGTAAAACTCGGCGCATAGTGCTTGGCGGCTATCGCCATGATCACTAGGTCATTGAGCTCCGCGAGCGGTACAGCAAAGTACAGTACAACAAAGTCAATGTTGCACGTCGGAGTAGGCTGTCAGCTGGTACACAGGAGCATGACCCAACAAACGCAGGTGGTTCAAGTTTAAAAGACACTCCATTGTCGTGCCAAGGAGACTGCCAAGCACCATTGACCTTAGTAAGGCGTCTGACAAGGTGTACCATGAGGTCGTCCTCCACAGACTGAGACTGCAGGGTGTTGGTGGCTCGCTGCACCGGTGGATCAGGAAACTCCTTGTTGTTCGAAAATAGAGGGTGCTGGTTGGCAACCATCTGGTATCCCACAACAGGTGCCGTTCCTTATGGCACGGTACTGGGGCCCAGTTTGTTTCTGATCCACACAAACATTATGCCTCAGTTTCGCCGTTCGCCTTTTGTACTGTTTACAAATTACTCGGTGCAGCGAGTAATCGGTGCGCTCGATGACTGCGACCTGCTTCAGGGTGACCTTGACCGCTTCTCTATGTGGTGTGCAGAGATTAACCTTCCAACAAAGTCAGCTGGGTAAGGGTGGACATGCTCGAACCTAAACTGTGGCCAGTCACCCGTTGCATCCCACGCCTTTCGTGAAAGACCTCGGTGTACTCTTACTCTACGATCTGAAGTCCGTGGAAAACACTAATAAGCTCCACTAAAACCGCCCTCGTGGGTTTTACGCGCTCAAACACAGCCTCTCCCAAGTGATTGCCACTCACCTATTCGTTTTAATTTTAAGACCAATGCTAGAGTACGGCTCTCATGCATTCTGTCCTATTACCTTGGGTGAGGTGCAAAGGATTGAGCGGGTACAGCATGTGATCCGCAGGCTCATCCCCACTTTACGTGGTGTGCTCTACGAAGACAAATGCAAAAGGGTCTGGCTTTACACCCTGTCTTATCGTCGAGGGTGGGTTGACGTCATCATGGCACACTGGATATTACACCTTGGTGATTACCTCATGTTGTGGCCGCTGCTCTATATGTACAAAACAAGTTGGACACGATGACACTGGTACAAACATGTATCACCGGATTTGAAGCCCATCGTTCACCAGCTCTTCAGATGGAGAGTACTAAATATGTGGGGCAGATTAGCACCACACGTCGTCGAGGCAAATTTGCTATCGGGATTCAAGAAATTCTTGGGCAAACACTTTACTGACATGAAATATCCGGAATGCTCGCCAACAGAGTAGGGGTTTTAGATGCAGCCACATGGAAATACCTCTTCTTGCCGCTTCCTTGGAGTATTCAGTATCCAGTTTCATCCTAACTGTGAACCATACCAGAGATCTTTAGAAATACGCTCCACCAGATTCTCTTATGCATACATGTGGAACCGATCGTACTCACTTTTGGTGGCGATCGTCGATTGGATTGATGGCTCCGAAGAGGTTGCCTTCGCAATGGTTGATGATTGCTACAACCATTCATCGTGAGATACTCAAAGACGGCTATCTGTTATCATCATAGACTGTTTCCACCATGTAGTGGGATCACCCAGGCAGGCGACCACTCACTGAGTCTCGCAAACAGTATATTCGACTGCGATTCGACCGATCGCCTCGCTTTTCATTCGAAGCCAGCTCGCTTTCATTTCGATTGGTCAATCTCACCATATCCTTGATCGGATAAGTTAAAAAGCATCTGCAGTACGCCGTGCATACGCCTCGTTGCCATGAGAACACCCCAGTCGCGCATGGGCTTGTGTATACTGCGAGGCCGTCGCACCTACGCAGATTTGAACCGGCGCCATTTGGATTACAGGGCAAGTTTCTATCCTGTCGGTCACCGGTCGACTTGGAGAGTTCATTGGTAAGGTGAAGTCAAAACTGCAATAGAGTTTGACGCAGACAAGGGCAGAGCTTGTTGAATCTACTAGAGAAATGTCTTTATTGATATGCTTGAGATGCAAATCTCACAAACCTTTTATAGTCATACCTCCTCATAGAGGTTAACCATATTTGTTCGGTGTGGTCTAAGTCAGCATCAGAAAAGGGGGACCAATACATCGATAGCTTGCGCACATGTTGTTCAAGGGCCTTGTGACTCATCTATCTTCTCCATGTTGCTCAATGTTTGCGTTCTCTCATAAGCAGGTGCGCAATCAATTTTAACCAACTCGGCAACTCAGATTGCGTTGCACTAAGGACCCAGAAACATGCGTCAACAACTAAGTGTATTCAGAGCCTTATATGAACGTTAGCTACCTATTGGTGTACCAAACATTTCGAAACTCTAATCATGTGTTCCTTATTATATTGAACTTTGATCGCAGCACCAACCTGTGAGACACGTACGTGAAACTGAGTGAATATTACAGCCATCAGAAGCGCTATGGATATAAGATTTTCTTTCTTGCTTGTCGACTGTTATCTCTACGGAATTCACTTATTTCGGCTTTTATTGGCTGTTTTCAACAAGTGTCTGAACGTTGCATTTAATGCGTTTTCCACGTTTGAAACATCACTTTAACACCATAGCCACCTTACACTGCCGGGCACATAGGCGCGCTGAAGCAGCGCAAACAAGTGGGCGTTGTTATCGTTCCAATAGAAAGGTGTAATAAAACGTCGGTCTGCAGTGCATGATGCGATTCCCAACTCGGTCGTTCATCGCAACATACGGCGCTTTGTTCCTGCTAATAACATAGATGATACCAAATTAGTACTGCGGATCCCGGCCTAGCGTGCGGCTTACCGAATGTTCCTTTGCTACTAGAGGTTGCTAGAGCCTGTGTTCGCCCTCACTGCCTCGCTTTGCAGGCCACAATGCACTCACCTTCTTAGCGTCCGGTGACCGTGCAATTTAATTGGTCCACTCCTGACTAGCTAAGGGCTACTGCTGCCAATTCAAGGTCGTAGTGAAGACGGTTGGCGGCATCCGGTTTCGGATTTGCCTGTCACTGTGGCCAGCCACAGCACGCCTGCGCCTACCATGCGTGGCTTGCACTGCACCACCCACAATTCCACCCACACACCCCATATCCAGTGTAAACCCGAGACATGCGGATGAGAGCCACGTTTTATCAATGGAGCCGGCCCACACTCCTTCACAGACACGCTGTACTTGGGGAATCAAACGCACACAAGGCGGTGGCTGGACCGTAGTCCGCTCCACACTGAGTGCATGGAACCGCTCTTTGAGCCTAGCACGGCCACAAGGACCGTGCACCCCGTCCCCTCCAGCAACGACCAACTGTTTCCTGGAGCCAGTATGAACGAGGTAGTGGGTAATAGACAGGTAGGCACCTTGTCAACATACACATCAAGCGCAGCCACACGGGGGGTATCTAACCACAGCCAATCACTTGAGAGAGAGAGATACAAAGAAAATAACTCCATTAATGCATAAGGAAATGTTGGCATAAATCTTAAACCAATGAGCATATGAAATAAGTTGTCTACCAACGAATCCGAGATCAATTCACGGGGTCAGAAAGTATACTTTACGGAAATGCCACAAACACGAAAATGTTATCGAAATTAACTAAAATTGGCTTAAGCGAGGTGTGCAAATTAGTGAAAGAGAGTACAGTTAGACATTTATATGAGAATGAAAAGCATTAGGACAAAATTGAAACCCACCACCTGAAATAAATAGACTGAGCATGCAAGCACGCGGTTAGTCAATCGAATGCAGCGTGCCCACAAACGCTGCGCCGGTTCTGCCTACGTTCTCTGCAGGACCGGTCGTCACTTCGGTAGTGGTCCCGAGTGGCCTCGCTCATGGCTCACTAGGCCCTCCTGACTCAGGCACTCGCGACCGCATGTGCTACAAAACCATGCGCTCGATGTCGATGGAGTACAACCCATCGTTGCTTGCCGCTTCTCTGCATGTATGAGGTCTTTCTCCCCCACCACAACAGCTGCCTTCTTGATTAGATCGTGCCATGCACGCCGATCAATCGCCTTCGATTCCCATGACCTGCAATCAAGATTAGAACGTGAGAGGCTTACTTTGATCATGTCTTGGTAACGTAACTTTGATTTCCCCACGTGCCGCTTCCCAATACTCAGCTGACCATATAATAGTTTTTTCGGTATCCGCGTCGAATCCATACGGCTCACATGACCGAGCCACCTCAGGTGTCTCAGCAAAAGTATGCAGTCCACTGCATACTCGTAGCGAAGATACGGCTATGAAAACGGCATGGACGCTTCCCATTGGTGATCTCTGTTAAACTGCAATATCCGTTTCGACGCTAGTCATACTTTGTCCCTACTGCCCTTGAATCTAGGGGTTTGTGTGGTACGGGCTGTGTGGGGCACTCACACCTATTTTTCTTGCCACTTCTGCGCACTATGAAATTCTCCGTTATTTTTTGTGATAAAATAATGCTGATAGACACATGGCTTACTCAAGAAACTATACGGTGAGTTGCAGTTGAATTGAACAGTGCTCCTCGCATAATTTGAGCATGCTGACTTCAAATTTGACCTTAGTTTTTCAGTGTACGCTACAGATTTTTTGAAACAACTAAGCATTTCACTTTTAGCTACTTTTCGATTTACCACGTTACACAAAGGCATAGGGTTGCAGAGAAAGTAACAGTGGCGTTTATATAATCTGAGTGTGCTGAATTCAAATCTGACATTAGTTTTTCTTTTATTAAGCTACGGATTTTAGGAAAAATGACTTAAGAATTTCTCAACAGACGAATGTGTTCACAATGTTGGTCTATGACCCGATGTATCTAAAATACATAAATTGTTGCAAACATATATCTTGAATGCAATATGTTGAGTAGGCATGACAAACACAAAACTAGATGCAATGCATCCATTAATCGGGCAAAAATTTGCGTTCAGTGCCTCTGCGTCGAAGTGCATTTTAGGGCAGTCACGTTTGATGCTCCAACAATAGTCCGTCATCATGTGTTTGTCCCATCGTCCCTGATAACCTTCTTCCATCGTCATCATATATTGATGGAAACCTTCCCGTTGTTTTTGTAGAAAGTAGAAGCCATGATTAAACTGCACAATAATCCGCCTCGACGGGGAATCTAACCGCGGACATACGGAGTACCGGTCCGCTGCTCTACCAACTGAACTACCGAAGACTGACCATCAGGTGCACAATTTAATACATGACCTTGCTTGGTTCGCGACGTATTGCCAATAAGCTCACAGTAGCTGTCCTGGTATTGCAGATTGGCTCACTCACTCGTCACTTCCCAATGAACCGAAGTATCTGTCCTCCTGCTGTTCAAAGGCGATGGCAAATGGTGGTTTTTATGAGTAGTGTAAGTTTTTGTAGCCCACTTGGTAGAGCAGCGGACCGGTAATCCGTATGTCCGCGGTTCGTTTCCCCATCGAGTCGGCTTATTATGCAGGTTAATCGTGGCTTCTACTTTCTACAAAACTTACACTACTCATAAAAACCACCGATAATCTATGTTCCCCTTGTTCGTCACCTACTGTCCCAAGGTTTACTTACAACTGAGCAAGGTGATTTCAAGAAATGTAGCTTGATGCTCATGCTGCACCAAGCTCGCCAAATGCCAACCACATTCTGTTAACCAGTTCCTCATAATTGTTTTTTCGTTCTCGAAGTAGTTTTGTATAACAACCACAAATGACTGCCACGCATTCATCTCCTTGTCATTCATCTTTGCGACAAATTCTCCATCACTCACAAGAGCTCCTACTTGAGGGCCGTCGAATACACCGGCTTTAATCTTCAACAATGACACAGACGGAAAAGCAGAAGCGATGTACTGAAAACAGTCGTCATCAATATTCAACGCTCTTACAAACTGCTTACTAAAGCCAATGTTCAAATGCAGTGGAGGAAATATCATCTCCCTCACAATAATGGCACAAAATGCGAACTACCCATTTTTTTGCCTTGGTCCACAGTGGTCGTTTGAAAGTATGCTGTCTAGATAAACTTTACAAACGAAGTGTTCTGTCGCCTTTGATGAACTAATCTATGACATCCACATAGATATCAAAATGGGTGAGGTTCATTTACACATATCAACCTGAATGATCCATGGGCATATCTGAAACGAAAGTGGATTGGTAAGTAGTTTTCTACTTTATTAAATATCGAGTTGTATCAAAACCAGAGCATGCAGGAAAACTCGGTTTATGTTTGAAATCAGCATTAAAAGTTCGTCGATTCACTTTAAAGATCTCTTGCATTAGAAAGTTTACAGAATTTTGTCGCCTTATGTCAGTAACACGTCTTTCTGCTACGTGTGGTATGTTGTTGAGAGCGGTCAGTGAATGCCCCTATGATGTCAAAGATATTAAGCGCTACTTTAATCAGCGTACTGTCCAATTTGAATGGGATTAACTCAATTCAAGCACATACACGATTTAGAGCACCCAAGAAACAGTTTCCGAAACTGACAATAGTTTTAGTACACGACTTTATTATAGCAACGAATTTTTCTTTATAATGTTCATCACCAATAAAGTCATTATTTGTTTATCATATGTTATGTATTTGATGAACTGAACTGTATTTCCAAATACCTCACATTGCGTTTGTTTCTTTGCAAACTGATTTTATTTGCTCGTGTTGGCTAACAGCTTCTAGGTTCAATTAACACACCCACGTGAATCAAGGCGACTGCGTTCACTGTGAAGTCCGATACTCGCATATGGCAGACCGCCAACTCGAATAAGGATCCTGTAAGTTGTTTCCACCCAATATAGGAAGATTAGCAAAGGCCGTTGAGTAACACTCTATGCTTGTCTTGTGATAAACACTTTACCTAGTTAAGCGTCATCCCAGATCCGTTCGGATCGCCCACATCCTGCCTTGAAGACACAGGACTCACTTGAACTTCCAGCTCCAGATTGTGCGCCAATTCCATGAGCATAGTAAGTTCAGCTGCTTTGGCTTTGAGTTGTTTCGAGAACTTCTCAAATCCGGTTTGACTCTCGCTCATCTTCAACGCTAGCTGGAGTGTTGTGTCACTGAAATTGCAATCGTATGGATTGGTGACAGGATACCATCTCAAGCAGGACATGTTTGTAATTCATCTATAAAACACAGATAGCCATCATATTCAGACTCGTTATGCATAGTTTTATTAGATGGGTAAGTCAAAGTACGTCCTGGTGTACGTCTAGGACACATGCTCACCCTGCAATTGGATAGAGAGGAATGTTGCTGTTGTGCACGCTGAAGGAATGTGAGCCGGCTCTGTCGATGAAACCTGACTCCCATCAACATGTCTCCCGGTCTTATTCCTTCGGGTTTACACTGGATATGGGGTGTGTGATTGGAGTTGTGGGTGATGCAGCGCAAACCACCCATGGTCCCTCTGTAGGCGCAGGTGTCCTGAAGCTGACCTCCTAGAGGACACAGTGACAGACAAACCCTGAATCGGACACCGTGAACCAAATCACAGTGAGTTGTTGTCATACAGCCACCACTCAAATCCTCCTGGATTCCATTCACGAATCACCCCTTCATGGTGACGGTGATATTCTGTGTGAACAAGCCGACATCTATGATGTTAGGTTTCTCGGCTCCCACATAACTGCACATCACTGCCTTGTAAATGACACAATTTGACTTCCGGAAGTACATAATTAGTAGGGGCACATGTTTAGATCAGCCGGTTTGCTCTCGGATCGCTACAGTAATGGTACAATAAAAATAGTTACAGGCAGAACTTCGTTACATCTAGGCTCACTCAGATAGCCGTCACACGCCCGGAAAAGCGCTATATGCGCTTTTCATCCTTTCGGGAATTTCTACTTATAACATTCAACTTCCCCTACTACTCTTCTGTAATCAGTACGAAGACCAAACTGCTTACAATGCCATAAGTTAATTGGCGGCTTAAGTTTGGTAAGCTCGTCGCTTGGTGAGGGGGCTACCCTGACCTCTGCAAGGCAGTAACGTGTAAGTCAATGGATAGTGAGCGGCGCTATATCACACCTAGTTACTTATTTACGATGGTCGTTGCCGTCCCCCGTGGCTCAGTGGTCTCAACCACGGACTGGCAACAGTCGAGTTGCGGGTTCGAGCCCTACCAGGGTCCGATGGAGTGCGCACTGCCGACAATTCCCAAAAGGATGAAACGCGCTTACAGTGCTTTTCCGATCCTGTGGCGGCTGTCTGAGTCAGTCTGAATGTGACGAATTTCTACCTATAACATTCAACTCCCCCTACTACTCTTCAGCAAAAATAATTCTCTTCAATAACTGTGACAGACCTGTACGCCAATGAGCGCGTCCCCAACTTGCGGACTGAGGAATGCCTTCCTTGTGGAAGTACCTCGAATAAGTCTCGTTTGCTTTGTAGGGGAGATGAATAAGCAGTCGCGGACAATCAGCGGCAGCGTCTCAGAGCGTGGGCTAGTCACTTGGTTCTTCGTCAAATACCACAGGTCGGATGGCGATGTGTCAACGCCAGTAGGACCAGCTATAGGGTCACCGACCACTCACTTCTGCAACTAGAGGTAGGTACCCAACGGAGCGCAGAGGAACAGCCTAACTGGCCACCGACTTCATTGTGGACTGTAGCTGAACACAAAGTAGACGAATGAGCCACCTTCTCATCAACAACCTTAGCATTTACGGCTAGTTGGACGCATCAGCAACTTGTGTTAACTGCTCCGCTGCCTTGCAGGCCAGGTCTCTTAGAAAAAAGGCTTAGGGTGGCGTCCCTTAAGTCAACCCTCTTCCTCCATCTAGCCAACCGTGAAGCTTTCTGCAAACACAAAATTCTCCATATTCCTTCTGATAACTTATTTGCCTCCTTTGTTGTGGTTACCTACATAGTATGGTACTGCCAATTGTTTGTTGGTAATGTGTTGTATATATATATATATATATATATATATATATATATATATATATATATATATATATATGCCATCCATGGTCCCTCTGTAGGTTCAGGCGTTCTGTGGTTTGCCACAGTGACAGGCAAATCCGAAACCGGATGCCGCCAACCATATATATATATATATATATATATATATATATATATACGTTACCAGGACATGATTAAATTGAGCCTCACTCGTTCTAAACTTGATTGCAGATCATGGGAATCGAAGGCGGTTGATCGGCGTGCATGACACGATCTGATCACAAAAGCAGTTGCCGAGGTGCAGGAGAAAGCCCTCATGCATGCAGAGAAGAAGCGGCAAGTGCAGAAGCGGCAAGCAGCCATGGGTTGTACTCTACCGACATCGAGCGCATGGTGCTGTAGAGCATGCGGTCGCGAGTGCCTTAGTCAGGCAGGCTTAGTGAACCATGAGCGAGGGCACTCGGGACTACTGCCGAAGCGACGACGGGTCCTGCAGAGAACGTAGGCAGAACCAGCGCAGCGTTTGTAGGCACGCTGCATTCGATTTACTAACCGCGTGCTTGCATGCTAAGTCTCTTTATTTCAGGTGGTGGGTTTTCAGTGTTGTTCTAATGCCTTTCTTTCTCATGTAAATGTCTAATGTCTAGTGAGCCATGAGCGAGGGCACTCGGGACCACTACAGAAGCGACGACGGGTCCTGCAGAGAAGGTAGGCAGGACCGGCGCAGCGTTTGTAGGTACGCTGCATTCGACTTACTAACCGCGTACTTGCATGCTAAGTCTCTTTATTTCAGTTGGTGGGTTTTCGATTTTGCCTTAATGCTTTTCTTTCTCCTATAAATGTCTACATGTACTCTATTCCATTAACTTGCACACCTCGCTTAAGCCAATTGTATTCGATTTCCATAACATTTTTGTGTTCGTGGCATTTCCGTAAAGTATACTTTCTTACCTCGTGAACTTATCTAGGATTCGTTTGTAAACAACTTATTCCATATACTCATTAACTTAAGATATATGTCACCGTTTCCTTATGCATTAATGGAGTTATTTTCTTTGTATCTCTCTCTCTCTCAAGTGATTGGCTGTTGTTTGACATCCCAGGTGTAGCTGCGCTTGATGTGAATGTTGACAAGGTGCCTACCTGTCTATTACCCACTACCTCGTCCATCTGGCTCCAGGAGACACTTGGTCGTTGCTGGATAGGAAGGGGTGCACGGTCCTTGTGGCCGTGCTAGGCTCGAAGAGTGGTTCCATGCACTCAGTGTGGAGCGGACTACGGTCCAGCCACCGCCTTGTGTGCGCTTGATTCCCCAAATACAGCGTGCTTGTGTTTGATGCGAAGGAGTGTGGGCCGGCTCCGTTGATGAAACGTGACTCCCATCCGCATGCCTCCTGGTCTAATTCCTTCGGGTTTACACTGGGTATGGGGTGTGTGGATGGAGCTGTGGGTGGTGCAGCGCAAGCCATCCGTGGTCCCTCTGTAGGCGCAGGCGTCCTGTGGCTGGCCACAGTGACGGGCAAATCCGAAACCGGATGCCGCCAACCGCATATATATATATATATATATATATATATATATATATATATATATATATATATATATCTAATTCACACTTAATTGGACCTTTTGTAAAACACTTTGGACGTTTTGCAAAAAAATGGGACATTTTGAAAAAAGAGAATGAACGCATGCAAGCCACTTTGGACACATTTTATTTTGAGCAGAAAATCAGCGATTCGCTTGCAAGAAATGAGCAGTAAGGTGATTAGACGGTGTTCAGACAATATTGCAGTCATGCTAATGTAACTAGATTGTGTATCCTGCGGATGCACCACTGCAAGCTATTCTCTTGATTGTGAACCTCAACAGCTTCGAGTAAAGGTGGTGATTCAGTATCCCCCTATCTCCCCATCCGTCTTCTCATGGTTTATGTGTTTCTGACTTTACACACGGACCCGTGCAGCTACCTAATTAATGGAAAGTCAGACTCCCCAATCGCGTAATCTACCATGACTTAAACAAATGTTACCTATCAATGGAGGGTCGTAATGAAGCAGTGGTTTTGAGAACAGATTACGATGCGCCATAAAATGTGGACCGCGATTTCAACTGCAGTAAACTATGCCCACTTAGATCACATGGACCTTAACTGATGAAGCGGATAGGCGGAGATCCAGTTGTCCCCTGTCACTCTATGGGCCTTTGCCTATTTTGTGTGGACCAACATATTCAGACGCTGGAATATTGGAACGGTGTAAGTTAGGATGAATTCACCAAAATCAGCCTAATTTTGCTGGCCCAATGTCGCAGTTTGTTATCAAGCCAGGGGAATAAAGCGACTGGACGGTGTTCTCACCCCATGTTGGTCATGCGAATGCAACGGGACTGTGCAAGCAGTGGGCAGTGTTACAAACCTACCTCTTGATGACTGGTGTCGTTCACCTCCATCGAAGCGGGTGACACATTTTGCTCTGTCGCTCTATGTGCATCCGTGTATTTTTTGTGCGTGTGTGCACAACCTATTCTGCTACTTGATTATTGGATCAGTGCGGGATATCCTGATTCCACAAAACACATCATAGCTTTAGTAACCTTGTGCTGAACGAAATTACCAAAAATGAGTGAAGAGCAGCTAGAGAAGGCATCTTCGACTCCGAGGCAGTACAGGCGAACCTCAATGGCACAGAAAAAGATCCTCACTAAGCTTGTGTTCCTCGACAGAAAAATCACGCACGAAGCTGCTAAAAGGGCCGATATGAACGGGAGCACGGCCAGAAACATCCTCCTTGCATACAGGAGAGTAGACATGAATACCCAGTGCCGATATATATATATACCGGCACTGGGTATTCATGTCTGCGGTAAAAGATCTTGACTACAAGGCAGCGGAGCGATTTACGTATCGGATCCTCAGGGCTAGTGAATTAAAAGCGTGAGATATAAGCACTTGGCTGGTGGCATAAACCCCTAAGATCAAGGGGTCATGGGTTCAATTCCTGATGGAGCAAGAGGGTTTGCACTTCTGACGCGTCCCGATGGAGCAACACGATTGCATCGTGCTATTCCGTATCTATAAATGCTATCTGACTTATAGCTCCAGTAAAAAGGTGCGATAAATTACAACAGACGTCGCCAAGTCGCAATTACTCTCACATTGACTATCTTTCGTGATAATTCCCTCTCCGCATTAACTCTTAATGACACCGCCTGTTGAGTCGCAAATGATGATGCAGTCTTATAAACTGGTGGATCGAACACAAATGTCGAATAATTATTATGGAAATTTCTAGTTCTGAAAGTTGGTTACTTAACTCCGATTGTGGGACTTACCGGTCTACTTCTGTCTGGCTCCGCATCTTTTCAATCATGTTCTCCGTAGCCTTACAAATCATTTCATATTCCAGCAGTTTCTTCTCTCGACTGAGCAACTGGGCTTCTACGGAATCCAATTTGAGTCTTAGCTGTGCTGGATCGACGTCTTTGATTTGAACTTCACGTCTTCTCTGCTGAGTGAGCTTTGCATTACTGGCCGGTATCCCCAGCGTGACCGGATCAACCACCAACGGCTTCTTCGTATCAGCGTCCATCGTTAGCCCATTGGGATCAATGACTGCGAGTTCCAGCTTAGCCACACACTCTTGTAGGGTCGCAAGCTTTGTGTAAAATATAAGAGTAGGTTCGAATACTGTCACAATACTGATAAGTAAAATATCTTACTCCCGTATTAGTACTTACGAATAGGCCTGTTTTGGCTAGAATGATAGTTTTGCTCTATAGAACTTTCCAACCCTACGGTCATATGCTTCCAACGTCCACTGTCTTCAAGTGAGTAGCGCTAATACCAGCTTGCAAAAATACGGCAAACCGATATAGATAATAGGTTGGGAATTGGGTGTTGCTCGCCAGAAAACCACACACCAACATGCGTTTCGACCTTATTTGATCTTAGCAGGTGGAGATAGCAGACGCCGAACCCGCGACCGATGAAATGTTAACGGAAACCGCTACCCCTAAGCCACCGGGTCACGATGGGCAACGGTTGACACAACGGTTAAGGACTGATTGGATGGTCATTTTAAAATACACATTGTATGGATGGATTGCGATGCGCTATCTCAATGTGGACTGCGATTCCCATTGAAGTGAACCTTGATCAATCCGATTAAGTCAAGACAAATCAGAATAGGCTTTTTAAACCCTAAACGGATCATTTCAGCAGCTACACCACCACTGTGGACATACTAGCTGATAATATCTATATACATACATGGAGATAAAAAATATAATATATGCACACCTGTCATTCCAGCAAGCGCTCCCCCAGCATGTTTGTGACTTTCATTGGGTCAACATGCAAATGTGCTACGTAAGGCAGCACAGCATTAGAATGATGTGCGGGGGAATAAAACTATGCATTTCGAACGCGTAGAAGATAAAAAGAGTGTTGTTGAAAAATCTTTGTGAAATGGATGAAATCTATCGTTTAACAAAATTATTGCAGGCATTGAGATGTCTAGACATAGTCAAAGCAACTAACCAATCTCTAGATAAGTCGTTGTAGCTAGAGATATGCTATGTAGATCGTACCAGTAATAATTCAATAGTATCATAGCGTATGATGGGATAAAAGCATAACTTTACGAGACCCATAGGATGGCAAAGGCACAAGAAAATTAAACTCAACAATGTTCCAGCGTGGAACGTAAACCATCCGTAGTAAAGACATCGCACTTTATCACACTGTTGTGTAGGGCAAAGCACTAGACTGTAAGTCTAGAAGTCTCTCCAATATCGCGATGTTTGGTGCGTTCACGACATGTGTTGGTAGTGCATTTTAGTGTGAAGAGATTCTTAGGGACTAAAAATACTTCATACAATCCAAACGCGAGTGTTGCGTTACTAGTATCAGGTGATGGCCTCGATAGTGTTCGTAAGAGGCTAGGGTCAGCAGTGATGTTCGCTTTCAGTTAGTATCCGGTTGGTAAGGACGAGATCCCCGCGAAGCCGTAGGTATTCTGAGGAGAAGACACCAAGTAAACGAAGGCGCAGTTCGTAACTGAGACCGGATAGTCCACTGTTTCCTTGGTGGCTCCTTTTCGGGCCGCTCCAAGAGACGAATATCTCCTTTTTACCACGTGCGTCAGGCCTGAACCGCATATTTAACGTGGGGACGAAGATATGTGTTGATCAGCAGTGGCACTAGCTGTTGCTCAAAGGTGCCGAGAGTTTGCCTCAAAAGCCGCAAGTTCAAATTCGCCACACTTACTGCTTTCGAACATTAGAGCGAATTGCCAAGGCTTTTTTATACGATGATACCTGAGTCGCGTTCACTAGTCACGTGTTGCACGACATGTTGCCTCAAAACATATTTATTGACGAAGCTGCTGCGCACGGTCAGCAGGTGGCACTTTGCAGGGTTCATTGGGAGCTGGTTCCTTTCTGCCCATTCGCTAATCCGGTCCAGATCGTTCTGAAGATAGGTACGGTCGGATGCTGAACGAATTGTTCTCCATACTGTAGCATCATTTGCAAATATCTGCATCGGGGATAAAATGTTTTCTGGGAGGTCATTTGAGTAAAGTAAAAACAGTAGCCGGCCGAGGACGGTACACCACTGCAGACGTACAAGCGTTTGGAGTGAGTGTTGGCTGTTCTTACCTTGGTGGTACTGCCTTGTTGAAAACTTCTAACCAGGTGAGCAGGGAACCTTTGATACCGTAGATAGCAAGATTTTGGAGAAGGAAGTGATAAAATACAGTCTTTCTGAAGCAGTCCAGGCAAGTTGATGGGAGAGCAGTATAACCCGTGGGAATAATTAAGAGGTCACGAATTAAACATTAAAGTACGAGGTACTGAAAGCACCTTAGGCCTGATGGCATAAAAAGAAGGTTTTCTGACTTGACCCGGGACTCTCTGGGTATATAATTTTCGTTCACAGTAAGGGTCCATCGCAATGAGGCCGGACCTTACCGTTGTGCGATGGTTTGTGTGCATCAGTCATCCATTGACCTATACTGGGTGGTGTTTTTGCACCTTCAGAGCCACTCATACCAGATTGGTCAATGGTAAGAGGCCAGACAAACTCAGCCTCCTGGTCCTCCAGGTTGGGGGTTGGAATGAGGGTGGCTCCTTATTCCTTAAAACGGATTCCTTGTAGTCCAGTGCCAAACCCACTGCCTTGCGGACAGGTTTATGAACCAAAGGCTTTGGTTGAGAACCCTAATCGTTCTCCTGTCTAGGCCTCGGCAACCTGACAGTATCCTGCCTACGCAATACAATGAATCTTTCCCCGAACAAATTGCTGATCCTCTGACCACCGCAGAGAATAATCAATGGTGCCCTATCTCCTGCATCGAACAGGGTAGATAGGGGTTTGGATGCTACTGCTCAAGCCTTCCCATCTTCTCTGCTTCCATTTGGACCCTCGATCCTCCTTCAGATTGGCATGCCTCAATGTTCGCACATTGCTTCAGATCGGTCAACAGGTAGCACTTACCCGAACATTAGAGACCCTCTCGATCGATATCTGCTGCTTATCGGAGACCCGCCTGCAAGACTCGAGCTCTGTACTCACTCTGCGATCTCCTTCATGTGACACTAGCAGCACTTTCTCATTGCGCCTATCCGGTGACGATGCAGCTTCGAGCACCGGCCGAGCCGGTGTTGGTATTGCCCTGAGTCCCCGGGCTGAAGCTGCTCTGCAAAGTGTTGTTCCAAGATTGGTCTGGACCACCTCCTACGATGACCGTTGGTGGGGATCAGCTAGAAGTCGTTCGGAAATTCAACTACCTGGGAAGTTGTATCAGCGCCCGTGGGATTGAGGATGAGATCACGAATGGTATAGCAAAAGCTCGGGGCGCTTTTGCTAACCTTCGCAACTTATGGTGGCCGCGCGACATCACTCTCACCCCGAAGGGTAGAGTGTACAATGCAGCAGTACGTTCGACCCTACTGTACGGTTGTGAAACCTGGCCGCTTAAAGCAGCAGACCTGAAGAGGCTAGTTACGTTCGACCACCGGTGCCTTCGTAATTTAGCTCACATTTGGTGGGAACACCGTGTGAGCAACGAGCGTGTTCGACGCCTTGTTTATGGTACAGGAAAGGGAACTGAACCGCTCAGCACCGTTATTTCACGCACCAGGCTCAGATGGCTCGGCCACGTGTTACGCATGCCCGCCCACTGTCTCCCGCGACGTGTGTTGTTTGCGCGCCGGGGGTGTGGATGGAAGAAGAGGAGGGGTGGCCAAGCGATGACTTGGTCCAGAGGAATGAAGACCCTCATTTCTGAGCTGGCCTCGGTTGGAGCGTCTCGGCTCCCTGGTTGGGGTCCGAAAGACGATGAACACGTTTGGTTGGACACACTTGCTGATATGGCTAGGAGCCGACTTCAGCGGCGTTCGTGCTGTGAGTTTCTTTGTCCCACCCCATCCCCCTTAGCCTCCCCCTCCCACCACGATCTCATTATTTAGTCTTATATAATCTTGCATAATTTTTTTTTCTTTTTGGGTGTACAGCAGCCGGCTGTTAGCTTACCGGAACGATGTCCATCCGTTACCGGTAGCTCAGCCGACTTGCACCAGTTGCTTTTTTTCTCCTTTTTTCTATGTATTGCGGCATAGTAGCTGAGGTGTTCCCCACCTCTAGCTAACGTGCACAGTAAGGGTGGGGGGCTTCCTTTGAGGGACGCCAAATTATCAGCACGAACACAAGGACATATTACATCACTGCGTTTAAGTTTTAAAGGTAAGGAATCTGAATGGACATCGCTCCATCTTATCTTCCGATTCACGTTGAAGTGATGAGGAATCCTGAATGATGGGAGCCATACATCCCAACACCTGGTCATTATATTTGCATCCTATAAACATGATTTGTATAGGACACTCAACATATAAAGAATATGGGAAGGTGTAGCGATTGTTTCCAAAAGGACACCGCAGTCAACACGAAGGACAATGGATTGCTTACCGTTTAACTTAGTGAAGAGAGTACGACCAGTAAAATAGATACGCAACACATTGTACACACCTGGGTGAACTCCATTGTTGGTTAGCAGGTTCAGCAACATTGACCTATCCATGCTTCCAGAGGCATTCCATTAAGCAAGGAAGAGAAACCGTACGCAATTACATTTTGGTCTAATGCAGATGCTATAGAATAAACAGTATATGCCACTGCATCCAAGATAGAGCGGTGGGGTCTATACGCAAACTGGTATATATATATGGTCGTCTGGAGTGGCTGTAAGAATTATTTGAACTAACGAGTTCTCGAAAACTTTGAGGAACCCTGATGTACACGCAATCAGACGATCCTTTTGAGATCCATTTCTGAGTACTGGGGGTATTCTGGTTCATCTCCAAATGTCCGGGATCATACCCATAGTGAGGCATTTGTTCAAGAGATTTGTTAAAGGTAGTTCGAGAGATCAGCACACTCTTTCAAAGTTAATGATAAGAGAGCATCCGGACAACTGACTTTGTTTGACGTTAATATTTTGAGTTCCTTGTGAACGTTGTTTTGCTCGAAGTGCGCAGATGGACTTGAGCTAATGAACATGGGATTGGGGGTGCACTTGGTGAAGCGGAATTAAACTCCGAATTCAGTTTGTCCACCTCCACCTCACCGCTCTAGCTGCATACACTCTTACCA